AGATGAACGATTCGGCTCTGACTGAGACGAAACAATTTCCTGGATACGCTTCAAGGTCATTCCAGTGACAAAACCTATAAAATCATTCAGCAATGTATAGCGTTTATCTCCCGTGATAAGCTACACCAAATGAGAGTATTAGAGTTACTACATGCTGCTAGGACAAAATCTGTTCAATACTTATCAAAGTCAAAAAAAAGACATCAATGTGAACTGCAGTTTTGATCAAATATTTTTAACATGTTTTGCTGGACAATAAAAAGCTAGTTTTGCAGTCACTTCAACGAGAACAACGAAAGTAACAATATGGCCCTTGAAACAGCGCGGATATCAAACCGATACGAAACAAATAAGAGCAACCACGAAGTTAGACGGTATAGAAAAAATAATACAGCTTGCAATATTTTGTACTGACCAGTTCGATACAATTCAGGAGACCACTGTTGCACGAGACGTTTGAAAAGATCAACATCGTTATAGAGTGCAGCTTGAAGTACGGTTTCGTAACATTCTGGTTCTAGCTGCGGATTACTTGTTGGAAGAAACTGTAAGGGTGGACTCTAAGCTATCTCAATCATTTCTTGAAAACTCTGATACTGACCTCAGCGATAAGAGTGCAAAGACGAGAGCGCTCGAATGTGCTGATAGCCCATTCCCACTCTGAGCTCACTGTGCCGCACACCTTTACTAAACGTCATTTAGAAGAATGTTAGTAGAGATTTTCAACACACTGTTTTACACAAAGTAAATACGCTGCCAAACCTCTGAAAACTACAAAAAATTAATAGCGCTGCCAAACCTCTGCCATCCTAGCCGCAGCCTGGCGCGGCTTTCCAGAAGAAATAAGATGCTCAATCATTGCGCGTCCAATGGATCTACTGTTCCATCTGGTACCTTCAAGCTCACCGTGCTTATCACATGCCAACTCCCACGCTTCTTCCAATAAGCCATTTTCAATCCTCCACCGAATGGTGTCCTCAGCGCAGTATGGAGTCACCTAAATTGTTCATCCTGTACGAACACCTGTGAAAATATAAACTTTCATTTAGAATGAAGAAAGAATAATTTTCTCTAGGTTTGCTCTTTTTTTCTCTTGCTCTTCTTATCTGATTCAGTGCAATAGTGTTTGATGTTAACAATGCATATGCATTATTACTAAATCATTTCCAAAACGATGATTCACGAAACTTCTTTAACTACCATATTTCGCACTCTTATCCAATCTTTCATTTCCATTTTCATAGTTTTTTAAATTACCGGAAAAACTGCCAAATT